AAATTTTCTCTTTTCTTCCATTGGTAAACGCTCCATCATTTAGTCATGAGCTTTGGTGGGTCCCTACAATACAAAACAATTTGTAAATATCCATGAATAATAAAAATAGTAAAAATAAAAATAAAATCTTTATTTATTGACAAACAACAACATCCGTTGATGTGGCATTGAAATTTGGTTCACGGGAAAGGCACACTCAAACGTCATGCATGTAAAGCATCGATTTGTTACGCAAAGGTTGAGCTTCATGAGGGTTGACTTTAAAGATTGTCTCATCGTCTATATTTTTTATATCAATTGCTCCATGAGGGTAGACGCGATTTACCTCAAATGGTCCTGACCATCTAGACTTGAGCATTCTAGGGGAGAGCTTAAGTCTTGAATTGTAAAGTAATACTTGTTGGCCAACATGAAAATGTTGTGGCATCAATATTTGGTCATGACACTTTTTAGTCTTTTCATTGTATAGCTTGGCCTTTTCATATGATTGTGCCATGAACTCTTCCATCTCATTAATCTCAACAATCTTTGCTCCCCAGCTAATATAACATCAAAATTTAGCCTTTTAATGGCCCAATATGCCTTGTATTCCATCTCAACAAGGAGGTGGCAAGCCTTCCCATACACAAGTTAAAGGGTGACATGCCCAGAGGAGTCTTAAAAGCTTCCCATAATGCCTCATCTAATTTTGGTGACCAACTTTCTGCCTTAGATTCACCACTTTTCTAAGACCTGCTTTATCTCACGGTTGGATATTTCAGCTTGGCTTCGTCTGTGGATGATATGTCGTGGAAATCTTATGGCGGGGTCTATATCTTCTCAATGTCTTTGCCATCAACTTATTATCAAAGTGGGTTCCCTCGTCACTAATGATGGCTCGAGGGACTCCAAAATGAGTAATATATTCTTGTGTAAAAACTTAAGCATGGTTTCGGAATCATTATTTGATGTTGCAATTGCCTTCACCCACTTGGACACATAATCCACATCTAGCAAAATGTACAACACAAGAAGATGGGAATGGTCCCATGAAGTCAATGCCCCAAACATAAAATAACTCAATCTGTAGAATACCTTGCAATGGCATTTCATATCACTTGGATATGTTCCCAGTGCATTGGCATCGATCACAGGACTTGTAAAACACTTGAGCATCTTTGAAAAATGTTGGCCAATAAAAGCTTGATTACAGAACCTTGGCAGCGGTCCTCGCTCCTCCAAAATGGCCTCCACTTGGGGCCATGTGACAATGGTATAGGATGTCCTGTTGTTCCTCTTCAGGTACACATTGTCTACTGATTTGGTATGCACAATCCTTAAATAAATATGACTCATCCCAAAAGTAGAACCTTGCACCGTGCTTGAACTTTTTCTTTCCCTGGTTGTTCAATTCAAAATGTGGTATACAACTAACAAGAAAATTAACAAGATTAGTGTACCACGAGACTGTCGTGACATATAAGGTTTTCTCATCAGAGAATTCCTTTTGAATATCTAAAATGTCATGGTATTTAGAATTGCTTTCTAGCCTAGATAAATGATCGGAAACTTGATTCCCAATATATTTTCTATCTACAACCTCTAAGTCAAATTCTTATAAAAGTAATATCCACCTAATAAGTCCAGGCTTGGCATCCTTTTTGTTCACTAAGTATTTTATAGCTAGTGATCAATGTGAACAATAACCTTAGTGCATATTAGGTATGGTCTAAACTTATCAAATGCAAATACCACAGCAAGTAATTCCTTCTCAATGGTTGTGTATTTCATTTGTGACTCATTCAAGGTACGACTAACATAATATAATATGAAAAATTTTACCTTGGTGTTGCCCCAAAACAGCTCCTATAGCATCATCACTTGCGTCACACATCAACTCAAATGGTGATATACAGTAGGGATGAACTACAATGGGTGTCGAAATGAATTGTTTCTTCAGCTCAGTAAATGCGCCTAGCCAAAACTTTTCGAACACAAAGGGTTGGTTTTGTTGAAGCAAGGTATACAAGGGCTTAGAGATTTTGGAGAAATCCATGATGAATCTTCTATAAAAGCCAGCATGTCCAAGAAAATTCCCGATGCCTTTAGCAGAGGTAGGTGGTGACAATTTTTCAATCATTTCAATCTTAGCTTTATCCACCTCAATGCACTTATGGGATATCTTATTCCCTAATACAATGCCCTCAGTTACCATGAAGTGACATTTCTATCATTTCAAAACATGGTTAGCCTCCTCACATCTTTTAAGAACTTTTGTCAAATTTCAAAGGCATAGCTCGAAGTCATCTCCAGAAATGGAGAAAGAATCCATGAATATCTTATGGAAGTCCTCAACCATAAAAAAGATGGCTTGCATGCAACGTTGAAAAGTTGTCAGGGCATTTCAGAGTCCAAAAGGCATCTTCCTAAAGGTAAAAGTGCAATAGAGACATGTGAATATGGTATTCTCATTGTCCTCTGGTTCGATGGTAATTTGATTGTACCCAGAATACCCATCTAAGAATCAGTAAAATGATTTTCCTTCCAATGGATCCAAAATTTGATCGATGAAGGGTGGAGGAAAATGGTTCTTCTTTGTAGCTTTATTGAGCTTACGATAATCCATGCATATCTCCAACCAGCGATAGTGCGCATGCGCAATATCTCATTATCTTCCTTGGTTACCACATTCGTGCCACATTTCTTGGGCACACACTGGACAGGGCTCACCCATGAGCTATTAGATATGAGGTAAATCACTCTAACGTCAAGTCATTTAATTATTTCTTTCATCACTATTTTTCATGACTAGATTGAGCCTTCGTTGTAGTTATATCGAGCTACCATGGCATTCTTCTAGCAGGATCTTATGCATGCAAATCGTGGGACTAATCCCCTTCAAATCAGTCATAGTCCATCCAAGTGCTTTCTTATGTTGCGACAAAACACTTAGAAAACTTTGCTGTTAGTTAGTAGTAAGTCTAGAGGAAATAATCACAAGGAAAGTATGATCACTACCCAAGTAAACATATTTAAGATGTGGCAAAAGCTTTAGCTCTAGGGTAGGTGCGTGCAATAATGATGGATTATGAGGAATAAATTTATCAAAATCAAGGGTTCAAAATGCATACTTGATCTAGCTAGATTGCTTCACCCCAGCTGGCAATTTGTCATGCTCCTTTATCCTTTCATCGTCAATAGGCCATACATAGTCTTCTAGCTGAATGAAATTGCTTTGACAAAGTTGTTCAGCTTCTGCTTCAATTAAAAAGGTTCATTTAAAAAATGCCTTAGTATTTTTCAGAGTCACCTGCGTTCTTGAGAGTACAAAAAACATTGACAGTTATACACTGATTGGAAAATATCATGGTAAGTTCACCTTTTTCACAATCAATCAGAATACAAACAGTGGCTCGGAAAGGCCTACCCAAGATAATGGGTGCCTTGGCATTAACTTCACAATCAAGGATAAGGAAGTAGGTTGGGAACAAAAATTTATCCACCTTCACTATGACATCCTCGACTCTCTTTTTAGGTTTAACATGGGATTGGTCGGTAAGTTGTAAAATCACAGCGGTGGGTCTGACATTTCCCATACCAAGCTTCAAGAATATAGATTTTGGCATTAAGTTCACACTTGAACCAAGATCGCATAGTGCATTTCCTACAAAATTAGTTCCAATAGAACATGGAATAATAAAGTTGCTCAGATCATTTTGCTTCGGCTGTAACTTGCTCAATGCCGAGCAATATTCTTTTGTCATGGCAACTGTCTCAAACTTCTCAATTTTCCTCTTCTTAGTACAAATTTCCTTAATAAATTTGGCATAAGTCAGCATTTGTTAAATGTCTTCTAAGAGAGGTACACTAATGTAGAGCTGATCAAGAATGTCCACAAACTTTTTGAACTGAACTTCATCATTGTGCTTCTTCAATTTTTGCGAGAATAGCGGTAGGGGTCTAACCTCCTCAAGTGCGGGAGTAGAAATTACTTTTGCTTTGCCATTGGAATTTAGTGCTTCGACAGGTTCACTAGTAAAACCATCATCTTTGTCCATCTCAACAATGATATTGTCATTGTAATTCAGGTTCAGATTGTTCAGAAGTGGGGGTAGAATCATCATGTTTCTTTCCCCAAACTTGACTTGTTGATTAATCTAAGTTCCACTCCGAAGAGTCAATACATAGCATTGTTCTTTTCCATGAGATTTAGTGAATTTAGTGTCACTTGGAAATCTTCCTTGCTGACGCTCTTGTAATGTCGTGGCAATCAAACCAACTTGACCTTACAAACTCTCAGAGATGAGTTATGGCTTTGAATTAAGGCACCTTGGCTGTGAAGAAAAACTCCTTGATTCTTAATTGAAGTAGTGTGGTCTTACAGTATTGTCTTCGTGGTAGATATGAAATCTTGAATTGTGTCCTTCAAAGAAATAGTGTTTGTTGAAGGTGAGGCTTCCTTGTTAGTATTATGCCATGTCATAGTGTTTTGGTATCCTTGAGATTCAGTATACTTTTGTTGATAAGTAGATCGACTAGCATTAGGGGCTCCTTGAATACCCAATGAGAAGTGAGGGTGTTAACGCCACTATGGATTATAGGTGTTGGAGTAGGGATTGTTATTGCCTTGATTGAAATTGCCTATAAAATTGATGGTCTCATGATTGGTCAGGCATTCGCTCTCGAGATGATTGTCATGGCATATCAGACATGCGGAACTAGTTGCCTTCACTTCCTTTACCTTATTAGAGTGTTGTAAGTTTTTCAACATATTAGTGATAGCTAAGAGTTGAGTGGACACATAGTCCTTGGTATCTAACTCGAATGCCCAAAGTATTTATCTCCTAGTTCTAAGCCTTGAGGAAGGAAATTGATAGTCATTGTTAGCAATTCTATCAAAAATAGCAAATGACTTAGTAGGTGAATTATCAAGTAATGTCCCATTTACTGAGGCATTGAGCATCATACTCGTGTGGGCATTGACTCCATTATAAAACATAACTACTTGAATCCAGTCTTGAAAACCATGATTAGAACATTTACGAAGAAAACCCTTATAACGATCCCAACATTCATACATATATTCATCACCGTCTTGGCGAAAGGATATTATTTCATTCCTTAGCTGAGTGTTCATGTTTGGCGGGTTATAGCGTAATAGAAAACTTTTACAAAGATATGCCCATGACTCCATCAAACCGGATAGAACACCAATCAACCAAGCCCTTTCTCGGTCATGCAAAGAGTATGGAAATAACTTTAATTTCAACACATCCTCATTAACTCCTTGTTGGCGGAAAAAATACAAACCGCTAAAAAGTTGCGAATATGCTGCCTAGCATCTTCAGTTGGCATGCCCCCAAATTGCCCTATAGAATTCAACATATTGAAAATCACAGGTTTGAGCTCAAAAAAGGTTGTTTGAATTTTGGGTGCCATAATTCCATGATTCAAATCATCTCACGAATAACACAAGGCTTATTAGCAAGCCTAGCATTGTGGAATACCTCGGCATTTTGATCGCCTTCCTCTTGACCAATGCCCTGGTTCCCAATTTGATACATATTTGCTTGAGCATGTCTCCTTTTCCTAAAAAGTATCTAAATCTCATGTTCAATTGGTTCTAATGGCTCGTCAGAATGTCTCCTGGTCATACACCAGGTAAGCCTGAAAAAGAATAAAGCAAAATAGCAAGTAAATTGTACCAAATAAAGAAGCAAAATAAAATGCTTTGGCAAACTAATTAACTTCACGTTGTCAATCCCCAGTAATGACGGCAAAAACTTGTTGCATGTTGTGAGTACTAATAAATTATACACAAATGATGTGCAAATATACACAATTGCAATAAGTAATATAATGATAAGTAAGTATAGTCTTCGGGGATTGGTGGAAATCATGAGATTGACCAAGCCACTACACTAATTTATCTAAGTTTATAAATGATGTATACACTGATGATGCTTCGACAATGGAGATGTGAGGGTGAATGGAATGATGGGAAATGAATGTTATTGTGTCATGGCAAGAGAACAGTTTATAATGAGAAACGATGAAAATGCCAAGGAAAAAATTACAAATAAATGGAATAGCTTGATAATCCTCATATGGGAAACTACTTCAAGAATGAATGGTGGGGAGTCACTTAAGAAGTTGAAAAGTTATCTTTCTAGCTGATCTAGTCTTCTAATGCTTTGCTTGTTTGATAGAGTTTGCTAAAAGTGTCCTCGTTATCTCTAATCTAAGAACCTAACATAATAATGCCACGGCATCTCCTCTTAGACTCAACTATGGCAACCTATACTATTGAAGACGCACTACCCCTCTTAGTCGTTGAAATCCTATCTTAGTCTCTCTCAAGTACTAAGGGATTATGTTATAGTGATTAACTATACCCTTTTGCTTATGTTAATCATACTGAAGTTTCTTTCAAATACTTAAGAATTAGTGACTAGATTTCTCTCGAACATCTAGTCTTCATCTAAGAAATGGACACTCTCATGCCTCCTACAATCTTAGAAGATAAAGCACACATAAACAAAATAAGTAAAAACAAAAAGATAAACATTCATCAACCATTAAAATAAAATTTCAAGTATCAATCGAATGAACCCCACCAAATATAGCTTAGTTCATAGTGTGGTTCGAACAAACCATGGAGTATACCCAATCGTTCATTTAGCCTTGCAACCCAAATAAAGTTTGAAACTTTAAAAATAGAGCAAAGGCTGGAGAAGAAAGCACTAGATGTGCACAGCCGACACTTCCTTCAAGCCACCACGAACGACTATAGCGCGAGCTCTATCATATGCTTCGCCACTCCCTCGAGCATCACTAATGGAGGAACACCAATAAAAATTGATAAAGGAGAAAACAAGAGTTCTTGTGCATTAATGGAGGTAGATAAAATGGATAAGATGATGATTTTCAAGATTGTCTCTCTCTTGTGAGGTGCCCTTATAAATAAAATATGTAAGGGTATTCTTGGGAAATTTTGTACCCAAAATACCCATCATACCCCCAAATTAATTCCTTCTGCGTGAAGTTTATCTCCATAGGTGGCAGTGTACCCCATTCAAAAGGTTACAATAAGTAGACATGTGCTTTGACAGTTGTCCTCTTGTGAAAATATCTCTTTGTCTTTTTTTGCACCATAAATGTCAAGGCATTGTTGTCTACTTCAGCAACATGCGGTGCCAAGAAATTCTTCTCAACTTGCCCTATGCTCCTTGTTTCCTACACATCACTAGCCAACCACACCTTTCCCATCATATAGCACCTTAACAAAGTAAAAATAACGCAACCACCACAAATGCAACTACATGAATCTAAAATGACCTATATGAACCCTTAGACGAACAATAACTTGAGTGAAAGGCCTTAAAAGTAGCCTTTTTACGGAGTTATCAGGTATTCTTCAACAATGATTTTCAATTGAATCTAAAGCTTGTCCAAACTAGGATTTAGTCTTCACATCGATAAGGAAATCATAAGTGGTAACTTTGCTCACAACATGTTCACTACAAGCAATGTCATGCACAACATCATTTCGATCATCAATGACAATTATATCTTTTCTGTTATACTCAGGGAATCGAATTCTCTTCTTCTCGAATCTGTTATCATTTTCTTCTCAAATCCGTTATATATGAAAAAAAAATAACAATTTTATGCTCTCAAAACCGTTATGCCCACAGTTGTTTTATTCCATACAAAATACTTCTTTACCATGAAAGAAAAAATAATAGTTTGTCTTCTATAATTGTTAAATCCTATAAAATATAAAACTTGATAATCTTTCTTTTCCCTTTCATCAGAATAAGAGAGCTCTTACAAATTTCCGTACCTCTACCTTCCACAACCTTAATCTGGTGTTGCGATCCAACAACGAAATTTCATATTTCAAAGATATCATTATCATGATCGATTCAAATATCTCAGACACTCTGGTACCAATTTGTTAGAAGATGATGACATGCATAATGATCGGCCAATAAAATAGACACCAAGATTTTACGTGGAAAACCTTTTGGGGAAAACCACGACAGAATAGGAGAAAATTCACTAATGTCAATAGAAGAAGAATACAAGAGGATTCCTAATGGATAACCTAATCTCTAACCCTAATTCTTAATATCTATTTATAGGGATAGATATTTAATTAAAAAATGAAACTTATAAAGTAAATCCACTCAAAGTAACTTTTCTACATAAAAGAAAATAAAGTTTTCTACTTTTAATCAAACTAGGTTTATTAAATTCCCAATTAATTTGTGTCATTTCAAATTTGAATCAAACTCTAACAGATATAAATTACGATAACAACAATCAAAATTAAACTAAATAATAAATGAATTAAAATTTTAAAGTATATGTATAGATTCAAAGTTAAATATTAGAAAAACGAATGCATCCAACTTACTTCAATGCCTAATTCCATATATAATTATTTTAATGATTCTATATATTTGAATTTGAATAAAATTATGGGTAAGCTATATGGATTATCTCTTATGTTTTCGGTCTGATCGATTTTGATCACCGATTTTTAAAAGATTGGTTTTAGTCTTTGTCTGTTCAGTTTTAATCCTTCAGTCGTTAACTGTTGATCTCTTAATGGAACTGTTACGAAGCAATTAATTTTTTCTTCTTTTCCTACTTCTCCTTCTCATTCTCCTTCTCCTTCCTTCTCCTTCTCCTTCTCCTTCTCCTTCTCCTTCTCCTTCTCCTTCTCCTTCTCCTTCTCCTTCTCCTTCTCCTTCTCCTTCTCCTTCTCCTTCTCCTTCTCCTTCTCCTTCTTCTTCACATTTATCACAAGTTGCAAGCAAGATAGCCATAAGTTCTTCTCCTGGCTTCTTGTACTTCAATCACACTCCAAGCACAAACCTCCCATAAATGATCTAGTTTTTAATTCTTTTGATGCTGGCACTGTCCATGGTGAAATAACCATATGAAAAGAAAGATCATGTTTTCATGTTTAAATTATGACAACAAGTTGAAGTTATGGAGGCTTCTGTTTTTTCTACTACCTAATGCGGATTTTGGATCGCAATGATACAAACATCATTGGAATATTAATTTCTTTGATTAGGCAGTTTTCAAACCACTCATACAAAAACTTTAAATTTTCACCTCTTTGTAACTCTGAGTTCATGGCAAAGTGGGTATCTATCGAGTTTAAGATCCAAGCCAAGAAGTATTGAATTGATATGAAGATTAATAGTAATAGTTTCAGTATCCTTTTTAAATTTTGAGCTTGTGACATAGCTTGAAAAATAGTTTGAAGATCTCGTTCTTCATTCTTTTGATGCTGACATTGTTCATGGAAGGTTTGTGTTTGGAGCTTGGTTGAAGTACGGGGAAAAGGGGAAGACCAAAAGAAGAAGTAAAAGAAGACACATATTTTATTAATTTTTAATTTTCATATGACACTTTGTTAAGGACCAAAGACCGCTTTTGTTTTTAAACTAGTGACCAAAAATCAATCAGAAAAAATATAAGAGATCACTTATATATTTTATTTTAAAATAGATTGATCGAAAACATAAGGGGTCATTTTATATAGTTTACCTTAAAATTATATATAGGGTAACAATATTTACTTCTAGTATATTAAATTTATGATTATGAAAATCATATGATATATTAAATTATATTTTTTAACTATAAAATTAATATCTTTTAAAATAATTTTATCTAATTTACATTAAATTTTAATCTCAATCAATCATTTAAGTTACGGAATTTTTCAATCAGCCTATTAAATTAATTTTTGGGTAAAGTATAGTAATGGTCACTGAACTTTTCTGAAGCTTGCATTTAGGTCCCCCAACTTTTAAAACTTGCAATACAGTCCTCCAACATTTAGTCTGTTTGCAATATGGTCCCCGACGTAACCGGTCGTTTGACGCCATTACAATGTCGTTAGAAGAAGACGACGCGGCAATCCTCCAACATTTAGTCTGTTTGCAATATGGCCACTGAACGTTTCAGGCATTTGCATTTAGGTCCCCCAATTTTTAAAACTTATAACACAAACCTCAATTTTATTCTAAACCCTAAATTCCAAAATAATTCAATTACATTTTAAACCCCAAATTCTAAAATACTTTAATTTAAGGTTTAGAATATAA